ATCTTCACGAAATTTGGCATGGATTAATGTCCATGTGGAACACTTCAATTTTCGGATATATTGTTCAGAGCGGAGCACTAAAGCATATAGCTGCCATACAAATTGACCGATCACAATCATGATAAAGATCTTTTTATTATCTTTGATGCTATAAAAAATGCACCTGTGAGAAGTGTTATAGCTTCGATCGCTTCAACAGGCGAAATTAACGTTTTTTTTTCTAAACAATTCGAACTTTTCTATTAGCAAACTGCATACCAAAATGATAAAATTATTAATAAATGTGAGTTTTACAGTAATGCTGACCCTTGCACCGGTTTTACCATATATAACTGCTATAAAATCTTAAACAGAAATAGAGCAATATACTCATACACCTATTGTATAATTATGCACTCACACATATATATGTATGTACATATGTGTAGCAGTAAGCGCAATATGAAATCAATTTTATGAACAGAACAAGGTTCACACCCTTTTCGGCCTGGTCCAGTTCAGTTAACTTTTAAAAGCAGAGACACCAAACCAAACGATTAACAGTTCAGTGTCATGCACCTTTTGTTATGCATGGTTATTCCTATTGTTATTGTTGTTGTTGCTGCTATATGTTTATGATTCTTAAGCATTTATGCTTCAATGGCAACAAAGCAATCTGACAGTGTCAGGAGTAGTGTATAAAGAACATACAAACATACCTACGCTAATTTTATTATAGTCTATCTCTTTATGGAAAGTCTTAAAGAGTGCCCAGACGACCCTTAGTGGTGCAAGCGTACATATGTATGTATATACAACTGCTGTCTTTAAGATACTGACGAAGAAAAGTGTTTTAGTGGTGAGGTCGCTGGTTGATGATGGTGAGCTTGCTGCCCAACACCAGCTGATTGGTGCTGCAAGTACAATAAATGTATATTGTTGTAGTGAGTCGGTTGGAATAATGTATATGTATATTTGCTGCTTCGCTTGGCGTTGCCTTCAGACGAATTGAAACGAAGCAAAAATTAAGCGCAACTTACGAATATATTCGGGCAGCTAAGGTAATGATCGTGTTTGTGTACGCATAAATAGTCGGCAAACAGCCGAACGAGTAAATGAAACGACGAATTATTTATCTACATACACATATATATGTATTTGTTGTGGAGTCATGTCAACCGCTTGAGATTGCTTAACTTGGATTTGTAGATAGTGGGGTGAGACGATCAAGTTGGGGTTAGAACGACTAGCAGATATTAGTGATGTGGTTGCATATTGTTATATGGAGCGAGTAGTGACTGTATGTATGTACATATGTACATATGTAAATATGTTTTTGAAATTCATGGAACAAGTACTCCTCATTTTAAAATATTTATCACTAACGCTCCCCAAAATAGTGTTCAATACCTGAATATGGGAAATAACAAAAAGATATTGCACCAATAAGATATATGAAACATTCATTCAAGTTTAAAAGTTTTTTTACTCTCCTATCTTTGAAAGTCGGAGACCTTTAGAATCCAACGTTTTAACTCGTCTATTTCCTAAGCATAACGGAATCACATTGTTATATCAATTAACGTGGCTAAACATCCACGACTTTGAGATTACCTGAGTCATATAGGAATTCTGAAAGCTAAAACTTGACTTGTCAATGAATTTTTGAGTTTCTTACACAATATAATTTATAAAAATTTAAATATTTATTTTTTAACCCCTAGGAACCAATGTAAGTAGATCTCCCGAAAGTTAGAACCAAATTTGGTTCTTTACCTGTATAAAATAGTTCACCAGCTTACAGCTAGATATTTGCTTTAACGAAATCGGATCTCAAAAAATCCAAATTATGCCCAACACTATGCCTTATTCGTTCATAAATACACATACACTCACAACTACACCCATTTACACATATTTAGGAACGTACAGCGAAAAGTGGAGTGATGTGAGGTAAGGTAACAGAAACGGAGACAAGCCAAGCAGGCGAAGCAACAACGAACCAGCCAAACAACCAACCAACCAAGCAAGCATACAAAGCATGCAAGATATGAGACCGTGGGAAAGAACATTCAAAATCGTTCGTTTACCGTTCGTGTTCGGCTTCGGGCGTACCATCGTCGTCTGATGTGCCTCGTTACATGCGGCTGTTGCTGCCAACGACTTTGTTGATTTTTTTTTATTACTTCTTGCTTTATTTTATTTTCTTTATTGACTTTAGTTTGTACATATTTTCTTTTCTTACGATTGTTTATGTTTTTACTATGTGCTTTCTGCTCGCTTTCGTTTGAGCTACGAAGAAGTATTGTTTTATTGTTTACATCGAGTCTGCCTTTAATTTTCAACTTCTTGTTGCTACTTTTCCACTACTTTGTAAGTCAGCCATTTCTTGTTTCGTCTACACATTTCTATTATGTTGTAGATATGCCTTTATGCTGTGTTAGCGTTTTTGGAGAGGATGTGTACATATTTATTTCGCTTGGTTTGCGCTGCCAGAGAGCACTGGCTTGCGATCAACTCATCGCCGCTCACGTAGCGATCGAGTCTCGAACGAGAATTCGATTTTCATAGCATTATTTGAGCAAATGCATTGTTTGGTAGGCTCTCTCTCACTTGCCTTCCTTCAACATCACGCTACAAAAGCCGGTCTTTACAACAAAGCCATACCTACCTACCTGTCTTATAAACAACATTTGCTCTGAGCATGGAAATATGCTAGCGAGGGACATGTTGGTATTCCACGGTTGTCCAAGTGTACTGGCGATTTTCATACATACATGTTTATTTTTTCTCTTATTTTCTTTTAACCTTATTTGAGGTCCATACTTACTTTTATTGCTTTTGAGCAAGTCTTTTGGGACATGCTACTCCAGTTCCTTTACTTGTACGCCTATTTTATTAGTAGCTTCGTGCATTATTTGTTTTCATTCCTTTGCGCACCGATATTCTCTCGATCCAAGAACGGTGTGATTCTATTCACTTATACCCTGGCTGTAAGGTATGTATGTATGTATATGTTTGTGTAAGCCCCTTCTGCTCGTCGTGGCCATGTGTAACACAGCTGCACTTTCCGAGATTTATGCGTGTGCTATAAGAGCCGAAACAACAACAACATTTTCTGAAGTCCAACCAGGCCTCGTTCTCAAGGGCGACGGAGGTATGAGGTGCAAGCGGCGGTTTTAATTTATTTATCTGTTGTTTTCGTTTCGCTTTTCACCAGGTCCATCGGCGCTCTGCAAAGCTGGGAAACGGTTAGCACCAAGCCCAGCGCGAGAATGTGGCGCACTACTTCGGTGTTTACATACTTACATAGTATGCATGTACTTATGTACGTATGATTCTTTGGTTGCCCAGCTTAGCTATGATTCAGCGCAAGCTTAAAAACTCTAGACACTCGCCTGACAATATCGCCCCAATAATATGCCAATCTGCAGAAGTATTGTTGTACAAAAAAGCAATTCGCCGCGACCATCGGCATATTTAAGCGCTTAACACTTATTGTATACCCGATGTATGCATGTGTGAGCGTGTGTGTTGCATTTTGACCAAAATCCACAATTTTCTCCCAAGTCATTTCGCTGCGCATTTTTGGCATTCGCTTGGCGCATAGGCGCTGTCACAGCACCGTTGCATAGCTGGGGGGTATGATGGGGCGCACACATTGGTTGGCTGTCTATTGCGCTCTGCCGTCTTGTAAGCGTGTTCGCTCGAATGCAACAATGCGACGCGACAGCCAGCAACTGTGGTGGAGTGGACTTTGGCATTAATTTGCATAAGCATGAGTAATGCCTCAAATTTGGCTAACAAGCTGCATGCAGCAAACTGGCGTGGGGCGCGGGGTGTCGCGCATTGATGCACGGCTAATGCTTGTGGGCAGCAAAAACAGGATTTTTTGCGTGCAATTTTTATTTCATTTCGGTTTTTTGTGCGCATATTTGTGTGCACCAATTCTTTTATTATTACCGTTGCTTTGTTTGAGATTTTTTTGCTTGATTTTCCGATATTTTTTGCTTTGCTGTCCGCTGGCTAATAATGCTTAATGACGCTTTGTGTGCAAAACTTCGATAATGATTGACTTTGACTAACTGAAATGATTTACCTTTTTATGTGTTGAACAAATTATGCCTTTGGAAGTGATGCAGTGCTTTTTACATACAGATACGCATACATACATATGCGCTAACACTTTTTTGGGAGTATTGAAGCCCACTTGGAGACTATAATAAGTTGTAACTTGTGTGAGTTTAGTCCAAATGGATTGAGGTCAATAAATTTTTATGGAAATATGTTGTGTTCGTCCATTGTGAAGGCGTGAGAATCGTTGGGCCGTTGTTGACTTGGAGCTCGTAATTTGCATGCATTCTTGGGTGGAAGCCTTTAGGATTTTACCGTTATTTATAATTATATATGGAAAACAAATTTATCTTTCATACATTTGTTCATAACTAGAAACTTGAAGGGAAGGGGTAGGGGATACCCGTTTTTGATGCACGCTTTCAGAAGAACCAATGACCCGTGATTGTTGTTGCATGTTTTTACACTTTTCCTTATTCTGTTAAATGGCAAATGGAGCCTTCACCTAACTGCTCTGAACGGTAACTTTACTATCGGAAAACCCCAGCATCTTAACACTATCTTGTAGTTATTACAGCCGCGGCCACTGCAAAGATCAGTGATCTTCTTGAAGTCACCGAACTTTTTGAAGAACCGACGTTGTCAATAAAAATCTTCTTCCGAGCATAAAATCGTTACAGACCAGACTCATTATCATTAAAACTCAGCAAGTGATGCTCTCTTCTGGGCAACCGATATCTACGAGGTTTGTTCAAAAAGTATCATATGCCACAACGTCCGCGAACTTAATTTTGTGTTTCACACAATATTTTATACAAATTCTTTGATCTATTTTTTGGAATAAGCAAGAATTTAAAACGCGTCCAAGCAAAACAGCTGCCTTTATAATGTATACTATATTTACTCCTTTTTAACGCAATAAATTTATGTCCTCTCTTACCTTACAGGCTTTCGTGGCAAGGATTGTGAAGAAAACATCGATGACTGTCCAGGAAATTTATGCCAGAACGGCGGTACTTGCGTGGATGGCATTAATACATACCGTTGTACCTGCCCGCCAAACTTTACCGGAGAACTGTGTGAAGAAGATGTGGATGAGTGCGCGATGAGGTGAGTGCCAAGAGATCTTTTTGAAAGTAAAACACATATTTCTTTAAACCCACAGCTCTCAAAAACTTTATACTCCTTTTTCTTACGCTTAAACCCACGGCTCCCAAAATTTTATTTTAATTTTTTCTTTGGTTTTCTGATTACTCTGCACGTCCTCTAACTTTTTATCTTATTTATTATTATCTTTTCTTTAATATCCAATATAAAAATGTCCCTCATCTAAACTCATGTCCGTCAATTTCATTTATTTAAATAAATTTTGCTCTTTTGAATACTCAATAACTGTATACAATTTTTCCTCTCCACAAATCCACGTAACTCTCGTAGACCTTCGGTTTGTCAGAATGGCGCGACTTGCACCAATACCCACGGCAATTATTCCTGCATCTGCGTGAATGGCTGGGAGGGTAGAGATTGCAGCGATAATGTTGACGACTGTGTAGCAGCCGCCTGTTTCAACTCCGCCACTTGCATAGATGGAGTGGGATCTTTCTATTGCCGTTGCACACCCGGCAAGACGGGTCTGCTATGCCATTTGGATGATGCCTGTACGTCAAACCCGTGTCACAAGGATGCAATATGTGACACTAGCCCCATTAATGGTTCTTACACTTGTTCCTGTGCTACCGGCTATAAGGGTGTAGATTGTTCGGAGGATATTGATGAGTGTGATCAAGGTTCACCTTGTGAGCATAACGGTATCTGTGTGAATACACCCGGTTCGTTTAGATGTAATTGCTCGCAGGGTTTTACGGGTCCACGTTGTGAGACGAATATAAATGAGTGCGAATCACATCCTTGTCAGAATGAGGGTAGTTGTTTGGATGATCCCGGCACTTTTCGTTGTGTCTGTATGCCCGGTTTTGCTGGCACACAGTGCGAAATCGATATTGATGAATGTCAATCGAATCCCTGCTTAAACGGTGCCACCTGCCACGATATGATTAACGGATTTAAATGTTCCTGTGCGCTCGGGTTTGCGGGCACACGTTGCCAGATCAATATAGATGATTGCCAGTCGCAACCTTGTCGTAATAATGGTATATGTCACGATTCCATAGCCGGTTATACGTGTGAGTGTCCGCCTGGTTATACGGGCACATCTTGTCAGATTAACATCAATGATTGTGATTCCAATCCCTGCCATCGTGGAAAGTGCATCGATGGTGATAACTCCTTCAAGTGCGTCTGCGATCCGGGCTTCACCGGTTACCTTTGCCAAACGCAAATCAACGAATGTGAGTCCAATCCTTGTCAGTTTGGTGGACATTGTATCGATCGCGTCGGTTCGTACCTCTGTAAGTGTCTACCGGGCACATCGGGAAAGAACTGTGAAATCAATGTGAATGAGTGTCACAGCAATCCGTGCAACAATGGTGCCACCTGTATTGACGGCATCAATAAATACACCTGCGAATGTGTGCCTGGCTTTACTGGACTGCATTGTGAGATTAACATCAATGAATGCGCCTCGAATCCTTGCGCCAATAATGGCGTCTGCATGGACATGGTTAACGGCTATAAATGCGAATGCCCACGCGGCTTCTATGATGCGCGCTGTCTTAGTGATGTGGACGAGTGTGCATCGAACCCATGTATTAATAGCGGTCGTTGTGAGGATGGCATTAACGAGTTTATCTGCCATTGCCCACCGGGATATGGTGGCAAGCGCTGTGAGATTGATATCGATGAGTGTAGTTCCAATCCGTGTCAACATGGTGGCATTTGTATTGACCAACTCAATTCCTTCCAGTGCCAATGTATGCCCGGTTATACGGGGTATCGTTGTGAAACAAATATTGACGACTGCATGATAAATCCGTGCGTAAATGGAGGTTCTTGCATTGACCTGGTAAATGGCTATAAGTGCGTTTGTAAAGTACCGTTCACAGGCAGGGATTGCGAGTCCAAAATGGATCCTTGCTCGACGCACCGCTGCCGTAACGACGCAAAATGCACGCCTTCGCCGAACTTTCTGGATTTCTCTTGCACCTGTAAGCTTGGCTATACTGGACGTTATTGTGATGAGGACATCGATGAATGTGCGCTCTCTTCGCCCTGTCGGAATGGTGCGACCTGCTTAAATGTTCCGGGTACATATAAGTGCCTCTGTGCGAAAGGTTATGAGGGCCGCGACTGTGCCATCAATACCGACGATTGTGCTTCTTTCCCATGTCAGAATGGCGGTACTTGCTTAGATGGCATTGGAGACTACACATGCCTCTGCGTAGATGGTTTCGATGGCAAACATTGCGAAACGGACATTAATGAATGCTTGAGTTTACCCTGTCAGAATGGTGCTACATGTCACCAGTATGTAAACTCCTATACCTGCACATGTCCGCTCGGCTTCTCGGGCATCAATTGTCAAACGAACGATGAAGATTGCACAGAGAGTTCGTGCATGAATGGTGGCACGTGTATTGACGGGATTAACAGCTACAACTGCTCATGTCTACCAGCTTTCACTGGCTCTAATTGTCAGTATAAGATCAATAAGTGCGACTCGCAGCCCTGTCAGAATGGCGCCACGTGTCACGAGAGTGGTGATGAGTATACATGCCACTGCCCACATGGTTATACGGGCAAACAGTGTACGGAATATGTAGACTGGTGCTCTCAGTCGCCCTGTGAGAATGGAGCCACTTGCTCACAGATCAAGAACCAATATAATTGCAAGTGTGACGCCGGCTGGACGGGTAAACTTTGTGATGTGGAGATGGTTTCCTGCGAAGTGGCAGCTATGCGTAAACAAGTGGGTCTAAAACAGCTGTGCAACAATGGTACATGCAAAGAGATGGGCAATATGCATTTGTGTCTCTGCAAGCAAGGCTACACAGGCAGTTACTGTCAAACGGATATCAACGAGTGTGAGTCACAACCTTGTCAAAATGGCGGCACTTGCTTAGATCGTGTGGGCGAGTACAAATGCATTTGTCCAAAGGGTTTCCAAGGACAGAACTGTGAATTAAATATCGATGACTGCTCGCCGAATCCTTGTCAGAATGGCGGTACTTGCCACGATTTGGTGCAATCCTTCAGCTGCTCCTGCCCACCGGGTACATTGGGTATTATCTGCGAGATTAATCAGGAAGATTGCGTTGCAGGCGCTTGCCACAACAACGGCACCTGTATTGATCGTGTTGGAGGCTTTGAGTGCGCATGTCCAGCTGGTTTTGTAGGCTCTCGTTGCGAGGGCGACATCAATGAGTGTCTTTCAAATCCTTGTTCGAATGCGGGTACTTTGGACTGTGTGCAGCTGGTGAACAACTATCATTGCAACTGCAAACCTGGTTATATGGGACGTCATTGCGAAATTAAAGTCGACTTTTGCGCCAACTCGCCATGTCAAAATGGCGGCATTTGTTCAACGAAGCAGTCGGGACATCACTGTGTCTGTCCAGTCGGGTTCTACGGCAAAAATTGCGAATTCTCTGGCAACGATTGTGACTCAAATCCCTGTCAAGCGGGCAACTGCGTGGTGGATGTGATACGCGGCTACCGTTGCGAGTGCCCGCCTGGCACCGAGGGTGTGCAGTGCGAAATCGACACTTTGGATGAGTGCGCTTCAAATCCATGTCTACAGGGTGCTGCATGCGAGAACTTACTTGGCGATTTTGTGTGTTTCTGTCCCAGCAAATGGTCAGGCAAACGTTGTGAAATTTACGATGCTAATTACCCCGGCTGGGCTTCGGATACCAGCCGTGGTCCGCTTAACAAATACACGAAAGACTTGGAATACCAACGTGAAATGTGCATCAAACGTGGTTGTGAACAAAAAAAGGGAAATCATAAATGTGATCAAGAGTGCAACACCTACGCTTGTAACTTCGATGGAAACGACTGTTCGCTGGGCATCAATCCCTGGGTGAATTGTAGCGCCAAGATCGAATGTTGGCTCGTCTTTATGGATGGACAGTGCAATGAGGAGTGTAATAATGCGGCTTGTCTCTTCGATGGTCGCGACTGTGCGAAGAAACTACAGCCATGCAATCCGACTTATGAAGCTTATTGTCAGAAACACTACGCTGACGGACACTGCGATTATGGCTGCAACAACGCCGAATGCAACTGGGATGGTCTAGATTGTGAAAATAACCTCGAGCAACCGAATCTAGCTGATGGTGCCATCTCAGTGGTAATGTTGATGGACGTAAAAACATTCCATGAGAAACAAGTCGAGTTCTTACGTGAAATGGGTCATGTATTGCGCACCACTGTACGCGTCAAAAAGGATTCGATGGGTAATGACATGATCTTCACCTGGAAGGGCACCTCACACTTGACCGATCTAGAGAATTCGGAGTTCGGGCGCAAGCACCGCATAATCTCAACAGAGCGTAATGATCAAACGGGCATACAAATCTATCTGGAAATCGATAATCGCAAGTGCATTGATTGTTTTAACCGCGCCGCCGAAGCAGCTGAGTTCCTAGCGGCTTCCGCTGCCAAATACACGCTTTCACCAAAATTCCAGATATATAGCGTGCGTGGAGTACAGAATCCTGGCGAAGATGTAGAGGAACGTCCAAGTAACGTGAAATATGTGCTTATCGGCATCAGTATTGTAGTGTTCGCATTCCTCGGCGTACTGGTAACTACGCAACGTAAACGTGCGCATGGCATTACCTGGTTCCCAGAAAATTTCCGCACCACCACCGCTACAGCCGTGAATCATCAACGCCGTCGACGTGATACTGGACAAGAGATGCGTAATTTGAATAAGAATCCCTCGATCGCCTGCATGAGCAACGATGTTAACATGAATTCTGGTCATATGGGTCATGCGCCACAATGGTCGGATGACGAATCCGAATTACCACCACAAAAACGCATGCGCAACGAGCACGGTGGTTATGCTAGTGATCACACAATGGTAACCGATTATGAGGAAGCTGATCCACGCGTCTGGTCGCAAGCGCATCTTGAGGTAGCGGATGTACGTTCATCCATTATGACGCCACCGGCACATCAAGATGGCAAACACGATGTGGATGTGCGCGGACCATGTGGCATGACACCACTTATGGTGGCGGCCGTGCGCGGTGGTGGTTTGGATTCGGGTGAAGACATAGAGAACTCTGACGATCAAACAGCGCAAGTGATTTCGGATTTGCTGGCACAGGGTGCTGAGCTCAACGCCACGATGGATAAAACTGGAGAAACCTCACTACATTTAGCTGCACGTTATGCGCGCGCTGACGCTGCTAAGCGTTTACTGGATGCTGGCGCTGATGCCAACTGTCAAGATAATACTGGACGTACACCACTGCATGCCGCTGTAGCTGCCGATGCAATGGGCGTTTTCCAAATATTACTACGTAATCGCGCTACCAACTTAAACGCACGCATGCATGATGGCACCACACCGCTGATACTCGCCGCACGCTTAGCCATCGAGGGTATGGTTGAGGACTTAATCACTGCCGATGCGGATATAAATGCAGCTGATAATTCTGGAAAGACAGCGTTACACTGGGCCGCCGCAGTCAATAATACCGAAGCTGTGAATATACTACTTATGCATCATGCCAATCGCGACGCACAAGACGACAAAGATGAAACACCACTCTTTCTGGCGGCACGTGAAGGCTCCTATGAAGCCTGCAAAGCGTTATTGGATAACTTCGCCAATCGCGAAATTACCGATCACATGGATCGTTTGCCACGTGATGTTGCTTCCGAACGCCTACACCACGACATCGTTATACTTTTGGACGAACATGTACCACGCTCACCACAAATGATGGCCATGACACCACAGACAATGATCGGTTCACCGCCACCCGGCAGTCAAGCGCAAATAATCTCACAGCCTACTGTCATTTCATCGTCAAAACAGTCCGCACAAACAACAAAATCGAAAGCGGCGAAAAAAGCAAAGCTATTGGAAGGCAGCCCGGACAATTTACTCGAGGGCGGCGGCAGTTTACGACGCAAACCGGGCTCAAAAAAGGGGACAGGGGGCTCGGTGTCAAAAAAGGGCGGACAAAACGGCCTTACGGCAGCACAACTGCTGAATGGCTTGGGTGGTGGACTGACAGCGCACGGCCAGGGGCTGGAGGGAGTGGACCAACAGCAACTGCTGGATGCCGGTCTCAGTGCGGTGGACTCGCCCCCACTGTCGGGCCTAACAAGCCAACCGAGCCCATACGACACGTCGTCCCTGTACTCGAACGCGATGGCAGCGCCAACACATCACCACAACGATCTGCTGGGCAACAGCAACGGCGCGAAACAACCACCCAGTTATGAAGACTGCATAAAAGTGAGTAGTGTAGATTTGAAAATCGGTAGGCAGATAAAATTAGCAGATCACCTTTTCGTTACAGAATGCGCAGACAATGCAAAGTTTAGTGCAACAACAGCAACAGCAGCAGCAGCAACAGCAAAATAATATGGATTTAATTAAAATGGAGAATTACGTGTACTCGCGTGGTTCGCCCTTTCATCAGGAAATGATCAATCAGAAGGGCAACAATCAGCAAAGCATGAACTCGCTTTGCGGCGGCGGAGGTGGTGGTGGCCCCGGCAATCTCGGTCACAATGGTCCTGGCAATATGGGCAACCACGAGCAGGGGCTGAGTCCGCCCTACTCCAATCAATCGCCGCCACATTCCGTGCAGAGCAGCATGGCGCTGTCGCCGCACGCCTACCTTGGTTAGTACACCATATCATTGCGATCGACAGAAAACACGTATAATAAAATAATATATTTTCTCCCCCTCTCTCGCTCTCCTTAGGCTCACCATCGCCCGTGAAATCGCATCCCAGCCTGCCCACCTCGCCTACACACATGCAGGCCATGCGACACGCCACGCACCAGAAGCAGTTCGGCAATAATGTGAACTCGCTGCTCGGTGGCGCTGTGAACAACGCGAACAGCAATTCTACGAACGGGCCACAGAGTAATGCGTCGATGAATTCGCCGCAGAGCATGAGTTTTCAATCGCCCAGCAGTCAGAGTTTATCGCAACAGAATTCACCGGTGAGTGTGGGCATTGTCTCGCCAACCGGTAGTGATGGCATGATGATGGCGCCACAACAAACACAGCAACAGCAGCAACAACAACAGCTGCAGCAACAACAACAACAACATCAGCAGCATCAACAACAGAATTCGAAAAGTAGTGCAATAATGCAAACAATGCAACAACATCAGCAACAGCTTGGCAGCCTTGATTTCGGCTCGGCCGGTTTGGACTTGAACGGCTTTTGCGGCTCACCAGGTGAGTTGTCTGCAACAATTACTATTAATACTTCAAAATTTTGAATCAATTACCATTAACATTTTAATTTTTCTATCGACAGATTCATTTCACTCCGGCCAAATGAATCCGCCTTCGATACAGAGCACTGTGTCGGGCTCCTCGCCCGCCACGAACATGCTCTCGCCATCCTCCCAGCACAATCAGGCCTTCTACCAGTATTTGACGCCGACGAGTCAGCATTCCGGTGGCCTCACACCGCAACATCTGGTGCAAACGCTCGATAGCTACCCCACGCCCTCACCCGAATCGCCCGGTCATTGGTCGAGCTCATCGCCACGCTCTACATCGGACTGGTCGGAGGGTGTGCAATCGCCAGCGGGCAATAATCTCTACATCTCCGGTGGACATCAGGCCAACAAGGGTTCGGAGGCGATTTACATTTGACAATAAGCACGGGGGACAGCGGTAAACGCTGCTGCTGTGTTTCGACGTGCACCAATGTGAGCGCGTGTGTGTGTTGTGTAAACATTCTCTAGAATCCTACCATTAACTTTATACATACAGACATACATTTATAGAAATCTACATATATATATCTATAGTATAGTAGCATGTAGTTTTGTACAAAACAAAATACGAAAATGTGCGAGTGCTGAACGCGTGTAAAAAGTTAAAAATTATTAACAAAAAAATATTACTTATATTATTGCATAAATATTTAAACGAGCAGAGAACGAACGAACTGAAAGCAAATGTGGTGTCGATGTGGTGCTTGCGGCGCGCTTTAACAATATAGGTACATACAAACATATGTAGTTATTATTATTATTATTATTGTTGTTGTATGTTGACACGCATAGGCGCGACACCCGGCTGCATGGAGACTTAGATGCTTCCTTTTCAAAAAAGGAAGTCAGCCATATTTTTTAAGTATGTATTTTTTAACCATACATATATAATACATACTACACACCTACTATAAAAATATCGTTTACACATAATTATACAGCTATAAAGCGAATATCTAAATGCGCTCGTCTGTGGTGAGGCTTTAAAGCGTGCTATGATCTAAGAGCTGCGGTGCCTATTGTAAATTATTAATATTATTAAAGGTCTAATATACCCACAAGCATATTAATGTGAACAGCATCTAGCAAACGATCAAAAATGCCTAAACATAAATTCGTTTAAGCTTTTCCTGCACTATAAATATGCGTACACACTACTACATACTCGTACATAGCATACAAGTAAATAATTCGCTTGTAATAGACATACATACATAATTACATACCGATATTTAAAACAAGTATATCAAAAAATCAGCTGCAAAAAAGAAACTCACAATCGAATCTCCTACCAGAGTAGTAAATACATAAAAATAAATATACATACATATATGTATATATGCATAGTTATATGCATACAAATTAGTTATACACACACATACATATATATTGTATATGTAGTGCAAAAAACATCATACTTTTAATATGTATACAGAAAATAGTACCGTTATAATATTATGCGCACTGTGAATAGCGACGAAATTGAGAAGACGAACGAAAAGTTATGGTGTTTTTTAAATGTTATAATGCGTGTTGTTGTGGTATAGAGATTTTATTTGCGAAGTAATTGAAATGTAAAATATTCGTTTTTGTTGGTGAGGAGCTTAAAACTGAACTTTGAAACTTCGTTGTGGAACATCAATCAGCATAAACTTAATTTAATATTATTTTGCATATATTTTTTATTGCTTTAGTGACCTACTAGGTAAAAAAATAATATTTTGTTATTTAGAAAATGATCAAAAGTACATTATAACCTAAAAAGTTGAATTATGCTAGAATTGCAGAATCTCTGTTGTACTCAATGTTATTGTAGTTGAGTGACTAAAAATATTTCCCAAGAACTCTAGTGAAAAACTGCCGCTTGGTAGCCTTTGGCCGTATAAAAATATGGCGTCAATATGTTTAAGTAGAAACGACTACGGGGGTAGCTGTGACCAAATCTATAACTGCTTGCTTTAAAAAATAAAAAAATATAACGCAAACGCGTAAAATATTTTCGTAATTTCAACTACAGTTTTTTTTTTTTTTTGCTTTCTCAATTTGAATATCAAACTTTAATTCGCATTAAAAAATATCTAAGATTAAAGATCAATACAAATCAGCGAATAAAATGTCCAGCACTTGCCGCCATATTTTCCAAATAAAATTTTTAGCCCACAGACACAACGCGACCACCATTTACATTTAATTGCTTATTGTTATTGATATTAGAGTTTTTATTAAAAGTTCATTTTTTTAAATTTGCAATTTGAAATTTGTAAAAAAAGATTTTAATTATTTTAATATAGAAGTGAATAGTGAACAGAAAAAAAAACAAAAATTGAGTATTAAAAAAATGTACAAGCATGCGGCAAACTGAAGACACACTAGACTTATTTTATCATAAAAAACGAAAACAAACTAACATAAAATCAACCCTGCGCGTCATTGGCTTACGATAATTAAATGTTTAATTGCTGCTAGTATAAAATGTGAGCCATACGTGCGCTGAAAATTCTTCCAATATTGTTAGGTAATACAATTTTGTATTTAAAGCAAATTGCATATGATTTTTTATATAAAATTATAATTAAAAATAGCAATGCAGCGTAAAATATAATGATTTTAACAAATTGCGCCACACGTTAAGTGCTTATAAGAAATGTACGCTAGCAAGCAACTGTAAAAAGTATCTCATGTCTATGACTTAAGTATAACTAATACGATTAGCGGTAAGTTGTCTAAAAATATTAGTAGAAATCAGCATATTATGTAATAGCCATGTGCGAAATAATTAAATATATATAAAGATATATTTTTTTTTAATGTAAATTAAACGAAATTAATTGCAAATTGTTAATTTTTAGTAAATATTTAAAACATGCTATAATTGGAGAACAATTTTTAAATTAGTTTATCTCAATTATTTTTTTAATGAATACTCTAAGCATTATTTTTTATATTTCATATGCGTTAAAGCGATATTTATAAAATAGTTTGAGTTAAAATTGTTGTAGTAAACGTACGCCACAATAAATACAATTCGCAGTAATTTAAGTTATTTTTTAATTGAAAATTAAAATGATGTGCGTTACAACTACAAAAAACACATCTATGCATAATTATGTACACTTTGCAATTATTGACTGTGTGAATATGTCGCTTATAATGAACGCTCTCCGCACAAGACATGCAACATAAAAGACATAATATTATTTAAAATTAATTAATGTGCTCTTTTAGCATTTAAATAGTAACTTAGTTTATTTTTTATATACATATATACAAAATACAGCGTCAGTAGTACTGTTTTATTGCTAAATAATTTTTATTTCTATGCGCCACATTACAGAGCATCAATTATGCTCTAAGAATTTATTAATTATTATTATTTTTGTAATATCACTCGTATCTCTTGTTGGCGCATACACTTGCGAAAAAGCTTTAATTTAGTTATCTGTTTTGTTTTCTGTTTAGTATTTTTGTTTGTAACATTTTTACTTTTTTGTTAATTGTCCGCTGTCCAAAATGTTTAACTGATCCCTTTAATGCTTTTGATTTTATAAAAAAAATATCGTGGTATCCAGTTTTATTTCTTCATGTTTTATAATGCGTATGCATTTAATATAGATCATGTAAAATAGTGCTTTGCAAAGTATAATTTAAGTTTTATGTAGCAGTAGTTATAACGAATTAAGTAATTAAGCGAAAATCTTTAAAAAGACATTAATAAAACATTACATATTTTTATAAAATAAAAAATTTTAATTTTTTTGATTTGGTTATATATGTAGCTCTTTATTATGGTATACCCTGAACAGAGTATATATATGAAGTTTGACACGAGAAAACATCCAGAAGAAAACATTGGAGACCATATTAAAAATATATATACATATATGTAGAGCTGAGTCGATTTAGCCACGTACGTTTGTCCGTCTGTCTGTATATACGCGAACTTGTTCCTCAGTTTTTAAAATATCGATCTGAAGTTTTGAACACGTTCTTTTCTCCCCAAATTTCTGCTCATTTGTTTTCGTTGTTGTTTGTTGTAGCGGTTATCTAATCACCGTTTGGGTGGTGAGGTTCAGGTTGGTTGTCATCGAAGTCATCTAACGGTTGCTGTTGGACCATAGTGAGAAGAGTGTTAAATGAGCGGGATTCGTTGGGCATGCAAAGAGGTGGTTATTGTCATGTGAAGACTCTTTGCATGCTGGACATATATTTGGTATGTCGGGGTCGATTCTGGATAATTAGGATCCTGCTACAGTATCCAGAACGAAGTTACGCAAGGGTCACTCTAGATTCCCGTGGCAGCTCGAGCTCTTCGTCTGCAATGGGTTGTGAATTGACTCCAAGTACCCCGTTTATTGAAGGATTTAATGGCTCCACTGTGAATGGCGGTCAGTGCGTGTCTGAAGTTAGTTTCCTCCGAAGTCTGTCGACTCAGCAGAAACTGCTTAAAGAGAAGCTCGTTGTGTTCCTTAACCGGAAGCATAATGGCCTCGCTGTGTAAGTGTTCGACCGGAGGCATCAAGAAGCATTCCGTGATAGTCTGGAGTGCAGTATTCTGACAAGTCTGAAGCTTCTTCGTCTACGTTTCCTTACGTCCAGGCAACCATATCGGTGCAGCGTAGTTTATGATCGGCCTTGTTTGTTGCCAACAACGCTTCTTTGTCTTTTTCCCATGAGCTACCGGCTAGCGACGTGAGAATTTTGGCAGGCTGTCAAATGTGACGCCTAAAATCTTAGGATTAATGACAGTCGGATTTTTAATGCCATCGACTGTAATGTTGAGATCCAGTGTGTACTCTCGTCCAGTTCGTGTATATGATCGATGTGAATTTAATGGGGATGTTTAATTCTTCTTAGTTTAGAGTTTTAACCTCGAAACAGTACCGATGATTGCCGACCGCTCAGGTAGTTCATACTCCATCCCTTCGAGCCTAGGTGCTTCAGTATCAATTTGTTTATTCCATCTGGCACAATGGTCTTTGATGATTTTGCCTTCTTGATGACACTTCGAACCTTCGAACCGAAGAAAGTAAGTGGCGCACAACCTCTTGGCATTTTGCGCAACCCTCGGGTAACACATCGTTTGGCCTTGTTTGTCGAAGGATGCAATGTGAACTGCCGGCTAAAATAGCTCCCGCACTTCTTCGCGTCCGTGGTGGCAAGGCTAACGCATTTTTTATTTTATTCTTTTGACTTGGATATAAAGGGTTTCGCAATATGAGTGATATGATTAAAAAAAAAAAAAAACACACTCATTGTTAAGGAAATGCAAATGTTTTTTATTTAATTTGAAGAACAATCGATACAACTAAATTTTGAATATAATATCATTGCAATTGCCTCCATAACTTCTTTTGTAGGGACGAATTCGATGAACCCAATTTTCGAGTACTTTTTCCACTAAATCAAGTCGTATGTCAGGAATAGCACGTTCAATATTGACTTCTAAAGCATGAAGAAAGTCTACCAATGACTTCAAGTAACCACGCAAAAAGTAATCCAATGGTGTTAAATCACATCTTCCTGGAGGTCATTCAATGTGACACTTCTTGAAATTATTAAATCTCCAAACTTTTCTCGCAATAATTCGGTTGTTGCACGTGCTGTTGGGCACCTAGCCCCGTCTTGTTGGAACCAGATGTTGTCAAGATCAACTTCCTCCAATTGGGGCCATTAAAAAATGTGTATGTGTGTATCTTTCCATGATAAATTGTAAACGTTACTGAATACAATGAAAAAAAATTATCGATCACGACATCTTAAAAATGGCCAAAACGACACTTAGAAATCATATCATCCCTATTGGAAAACCCGATATGTTATAGCCTTTTATTATACCCTGTTCTGCATTAACTGCATGTGTCGGAACTACCGATATCAGATCATTATAGCAAAAAGTTGCAATACAAACTGAACGACCAAACTCAAGATCTTGTATGGAAAACAATTTTCTACAACGAGATATCTACACGAAATTTCGTAGACTATTATCCAAAGCATCACTATAATTTCCGAATATTTTGTTTCGATCGGACCATTATAACATATGGCCGCCATTCAAACTGACTGACTGAAGTTAACGTTTTTTCTTCATTTTATCCAAGAAAAATATATTTTCTTATAAAATTGGAATAATTTTTGCATACAAATAGGCGCTGTAAGGTGATTAACCTTCGCTTGCGCGACCTTTAGCCGTTCGTAGTAGAATGATACGCATTAAAACGTGTTTAAGCACCAATTCCCCCAATTTTTGTTATCGCAACTAAACAAAAGCACAGTATTTTAAATTAAATTTAAATATCAGCTTTATTTACAATAAATTTTTTAAGCTATAGTAATACAGTTATTTAAAATGCAAAATAAAAAAATTCACTTGGCACGCAGCTGTGCAAAAAATTTACCAATCCCAGTATGCCCTTGATTATTTAGTAATCATAAATTGCCTTCATTGTGGCCAGCCCTAAGTCTATGCATCTTTTATTAGTCATTATGTTTTAAAATATGTGTTGCATACAGATATTCATGTATGCTAATTGCACTAGTATTTCAGTTTTCTTTCTTTACATCTGGCCCACTGGAGCTGAAGTCCACAGCGTCCTTCACAACAGCTGACTTTTCACTTCCGTCATTAGCTAAAGTTTTGTTTTTAGACCCAGTGAATGGACAGGCGCCGCCTTTGCATTCGAATGGAAATTCAGGTGTATTTTTGATTACATTGCCCTGGGCATCCTTTTTCTCCCAAGGATTCCAATAACGCTGTATAATTGGTAGTACAATTGGTTGAATAAATTTGTGCCAGATGTACAGCAGCACAGGAATGATGAAGCACGGTACGCAGACCATTTCCGTGATTTGTATTTATAACGGATGAAATTTGTACAAATTTTTCTTTACTCAAATGAAAAAACAATATTTGCAATACAAAATTTTTAGAATTTTCTTAGTCAGAATAACAAAAGTCGTAAATTTTAATTCAGATAATCAAAACAAATAAAGAGATGACATTTAGCTCAATAACTTTTTTTGAAGTCGCACTTTCCCGGCAGACGTCGCAATACACTCTGTGTTCTAGTTTAATTCAACCACAATAATATCATTGATAATATATACAGAGAATGTAGATTTTATAATCTCTGACATATATATATATATATATTGTGAATTTTTATTTTTTTTAAACCGTTGAACTTTACCAACTTCACCCATGAGAATTATTTATTTTATATGGTTTCAAAGATAAGTTTAAATGCATCACTGCGGGATTGTACTCGTTACTTTTATTCGTTAGAAACTCATTGGTGAACAGCTGTCACTCGTTTTTTGCGATTTGGTCCGTACGGTTGTTATTTCCAGTTATTTTACTTAGCTCTTAAAATACAGGTAATATTGGTATTGTGTTTTTAGAAAATAATCGGGTTAAGTGATTGTTTTTATTTGTTCAGTAATTTAATATATTTTTAATGTGTCGTAGGTATAAAATAACCAAAAAAATATCAATATCCTCCGCAGTGTTAAGGTGATTGTAAAACGCGAGTGCAGTGAAGTGTTGTTGTGATGTTGGTGGTGAAGCTAACAAAAAGATTTTAAGGCAAAGGGTAAAATCCAACAAAAAAGAAGAATTGTGCAAAAACGCAATATCATCTAACTGGCTAATTAAAATAGATTATTCTTATTGGAAATAAAAAGGTGAAAATTGGGGAAAAGGTTAATTTTCAGATTGGAGTGACGTCGTAATTGGAAATTTAAAATGTGGAGCCCAACGCACATACAAGTTACTGGTAAGTCAATATGCACCTTAATAATAAATTGTTTCATTACTTAAGAATCTATTTCGGTGTACAATTTATACTTACTAACTTAAAATAATATAGCTATATCGCACTATATACAATTTAATCTAAAAAGTGATTGGAGAAAAACATATACTTATGTTAATATAATGTGTGAAAGAAGAAGAAAAAGAAATTGTAGGCTTTTTGAAGCATCAACTGCACCCATTCATTGTGTTAGGCATAATTCGTGATTTTGCTTCAGCGCATTATTGGCATAGCTAACTGCGTCAGTGGCCGACTCCCATTCATTGTTTACAGCAATGCCACTTGCTGACGGAATTGTGAGCAGCCACTTTCTTTGTATACCATATATTTATACACACATATATACAGACATGCACTGGAAGCAAAAGCTGCTACAACAGCACTTCTCTAATATGTGGTTTGATTAGCAGGGAACTGGTTTTCAGAAAACCATAGCTGTGCAGTTATTGAGTTTCAAAGTTTCATAAAGACAAAGCTCACAGTACAAGGCAAAATCATATTAAAAATGGAGTGTAATTTTTATTTTTTGAAGAATGATAGCGACATTGTTTTTGCTACAACACCGTGCAAATATTTAAATAGTTAATGGTAGAGCGACTACGCCATACAAACTGCAACTTGGTTCAAAAGCCTTTGAATGGCAGTGACCGGTGCGGTTAATATTCAACTTAGTACGCCCGGTCAATTTCATCTTAAATTTCATACTTTATTAATGCTCTCCATGATAATGCTTTTTACAATGAGCCATCGCAAAATGAGTGCGAGCTTAAATATTTTTCGTTTTGTTTTTTCTCAACTAGTGTATGGATTAAACAGGCGCGTTTCTGTTAAGATTGAGGACTCGTAAATTGAACTCTTGTAACATGTAAACAAATGTTTGTAGTCATCAGATTGTTTGGCTTTTATGTGTCACTTTCTACATTGTGCCATTGTTCTCGAAAAATTAATTTGTGGTAGCAGTTGTGCATACATATGTACATATTTACAATTTAAATTGCTTTGATTTACCCCGCTACACCTCACATCACCACGCTATAGTGCTCGGAGTGTAATTGCCTCCTCCAACGCCATAAAAACATCATTATTTGCCAAAGTGCTCCTCATTCACCACCTGCTTTCCTCTATGCATACAAATGTATAGCTATGTGCTGTTTAGTTGTACCAACAATACTTGTGATGTCACGTGATGATGACTGTTATTTGTGTTCTCTGCTGCTTATTGCAGATTTCACTTAATTTGGCATGCAAGTGCTGACTTTGTCTGAATTTGTATATATAGATTTATTTACGTGCAAAATTCCACTGAACATAAAATTAAATATGACGGAAAGAAAAACAGAGATTTATTTATTTAAAAACAGTTCACTTGTTTAACAAAATCGTATTGGAACTTTAGTTTTAACCACGTGTACAAAGTTGTGGGCGGAAATTGGTTTTTGAGAGGTAATATCTTTTTACATTCAACGATTCTAATCTTAGGAAAATTATAAAACATTGATAAGAAACTTCAAATGTTTTGCTGGAAACCACAATCTGTCATATGCTTTTTTACTTTTATCGCTATCATCAAAATGTGAAAGTGCGACAGCACATTGCTGGCATTGAACGCAACTTGCACCGAACAATATAAATGTATAACTTTACAAATAGCAGCGCTTTTAAAAAAGGAAACTTTTTTCTTTTTTTTATATCCATAACCATTAAAAAAATATGCCGATGACACTTCAAAATCGCCAGGTATACTCTACCTGTAAATTTGGTGAATCCTAGACGTAGTGAGATCTGAATTTGTTTCGCCTGGGAAGTTAATATTTTGATACTTTCTAAAGGATATATTTGGACTATCCAGCAATGAACTTAAAAATAAGTTTGATATAAGTTCCCACATCCAGAAAAGGATTTAATAAGTTAATCGAATGACATTCCTCTACAATTATTCATTCAGAAGAAATTCAGTGCAAATTGCCTATCGACAACTAATCTCTGCCAAAGCTGCTATTGTCTTATACTTTATAATACACTTTGTTTACTTAGGCTTTTCACAAATGTAAAATAAAAACCCAGTAAAATTAAAAAATTTTCAAGAGATAAGATATGAATTCCAGCCTTAAAACAAATTGTTGTGGCAGAAAGAAAAAAATGCTTAATCATATACATATGTATGTATGTACATGCTTACATACCCGAATACCATGAACATATGTATGTATGTATGTATTGTGAGAAGATTTTTTTGAATTGTTGGAGAAACGTAACTGTTTTAGTTTAGAAATTAAGATGTCATAAAGTATTAGTCATTTTCACTGCTGATAAGATTTCAACTCGGTTAAAAAATTCAACCACATTGCCTGTTGCATGAGTAATGAACACTTCGAAAGGGAGTGGAAATTGTTCAAATGCAAGAGTGGATTAGTGTACTTGTAAATGTAATATACATATCATCTGATCAAATTTTACCCGGATTTACAAAGAAGTATCAAAGTCAAAATATGCTCCTGAGTCACTACAAGCATACCAATGTTTAATCCAATTTTACATACACATACATTCCTTCAGCGAATTTTGGTGTGTTCGGTTTCGGCTCATTTTTGCAGTGCCATTCGGTAGATTATTGAACAGTTTCGACGTCGTATTCATAAAACCCACGTTTCGCTACTAGTAATGGATTCAGGATTTAGGTGTTTTGGTACGAGTCTAGCATTGATACGCTTGTTACCAAAAACATTAACCATATCCTCAGCTAGCTCTCTGATGCCAACCGGACAAGTTTCACGCTCTGTTTCTTTAACTTTTTCGATGTTATCGTCATTATCAGAGCCAAGTTTTCGATGACTCGCATTAGCCAAGTTTTCGATGACTTCACGATCTTCACTGAATACTTGCATTCGTGATAGACTCCCAAAACAGTTTTGCAACATTTTCAACGATCCCGTAGCCGTGCATCCATTGGAAACACCAAACTTCAGGCAAGCTCATTGTTCAATTTTTTTTCTATGGTAAAAATTGTCAGACAATGCTTTCGCGTCGTGAAAAAAAAAACTGCCAAACAAACACTAATTGACATGTAGATATCAAACTTCACAGGAAAATAAAAAAGTGGTTGTACCAATCTTGGAAACAAATTGGTATATATAAGAATTGTGATTTTTTCTTTTAAAAATTGTACCCACATATTGCTTAAGTATACATTCATATCTGTGTTGTATATACAAGTACATGAGTAAATATGCCAGTTTATAAATCAAGAATTGCCTTTGTCTTCAAGTATTGTTAAATTGGTCAGTGTAGTTGTTGTCAATATTTAAACAAGTGATTTATTTTCATGTGAGAATCAAACAAATTTGACTGCAAGAAGCTGTTCATTGTTCACGATTTGTTGTATGCTGTTTATTTTCCGCTTGAAATGTGTATAAAACAAGAAATCGTTACTTCGGTTGCCAGAAGCTATAATACACTTCACAGGTGCATTCCTTATAGCATAAAAGGGTGTAAAAAAATCCTTATCTTGATTTTGGTCGGCCTGTTTGCATGCCAGCTATCCATATGCTATAGTAATTCGATCTAAGCAATTTGTGCGGAGATTGCATCATTGTCTTCAACAATCATTCGCCCTTAATTTGTGAAGATATCTTGTCCAATAAAAAAAAAGCTTTCAATGCAAGAACTTGATTCGAATAGATCAGTTTGTATGGGAGCTACATATATGCTATAGTTGTCCAATAGCGGCAGTTCTGTCAAATGAACAACTTCTTGGGGAAAAAAGGATATGTGCAAAATTTCAGTTCGATCCTCAAAAACTGAGGAACTAATACATAGTAGTATATGCACACAGCCAAACAGACAGCCGACATGGCTAAATCGACTTAGCTTGTCACGCTGATTATTTACTGTGTCTGTATTTATATTTTATACTTGTAGGGTCTCCGACGTTTCCTTCTGGGTGTTACAAACTTCGTGGCAAACTTAATATACCCTGTTCGGGGTATAATGAAGCGAAGCTGTATGATATATGTACATATTTTAATAAAACAATGCCGTTTTTATCAACAATTATTTTGAGCTCAACTCAAGCCCCGGTAATAAGCTTAACCGAAGTAATTCAAGTTCATTATTATTCATTTGTATTCGCTATTTATTACTTACAGTGATACGGCCCTTTGTTAATTACTACTTAATTTTATTTTTTTGTTTTGCAAATAACGCAAGAACAGTTGTATGAAAATAGCAGTGTAATCAACTCTTTGTTGAAACTATGGCGATGAACTTGATGAATCAGTACTTTTGTTATATTGTTTACACTGATTGTCATATGTTATGCATTGCCGTTTCATTTAATAAGAAAGTTAATTGTATTGAGGAACGTTTTTACTTTGAAAATTTAATTTCATTGCTTATATTGTATTTGAATGCTGATTAAGTATATGAAAAGTATTTGCATTTTTTTAAATCACAAATTTTATGATAATGATCTCATCTCATCTCAAACATACCATTAAACCATATATTTTATTTGAACTTTATTACCACAGAATGTGTTTACGTAACAGTTACTAAACGAATATATAGAAAACTTGATTTCTGATTGAAAAATTGTTTTAAATCAAAGAAAAACATTAACTTCGGCTGCACCGAAGATATAATACCCTTCTCAGATTTCTTATAGCATAAAATTTTATAAAATGATCTTTATCTGGATTTTGATCGTGCAGTTTGTATGTCAGCTATATGCTATAATGGTCCAATATTTGCGGTTCCGACAAATGAGCAGCTTCTTGGTAAGAAAAAGACGTGTTCAAAATTGTAGATCTTGAAACTGTAAATGATAGTCTGATGCCATTACAATCACTCTAGACAGTAAACGACTATTGTAATGGCGCTTTAAATACCCAATCTTCGCCAATTAAGCAGAAAAAAAGTAACTGTAAAATTAAGCTTCGAAAAATGTTTGCTCGTAAAATAAT